TGGCTAAATGTCTTTTTGGTAGTACAAAACGTCAGGTTAATTTCAATATTGTTACTTTTTTAGTGCTTGTGAAAAAATTTATGTACCCCCTTTGAGGGGGCTGTATCTTAACAAAGGGATGCTCCAATGAAATTTCTTTATATGAAAGATCCTATCTTTTTTCGTTGAGGAATCACCTCCTTGAATGTTTCACATTCATTCAGTTACACCCTGTATAAATTATTCGATTATTCAAATTAATTTTCGGGACAATATGAAAATGTATTCTTGACATTTTGGCCGTGCAATATTTTTTACAGAAAACTTGGAAATAAACGTGAAGAGCGAGGTAATAATAGAAAAGCACGATGGTTTCCGTTTTTTCAACGTCACTAAAGTCCACGTCAAATTCAGTATAGGAGGTCTTCAGTTATATATGGGAAATCTTTTCGATGGAATCAAAGCTTTAGGTAAGGCCCATTTCATAAACGGTGAACAAAGCTAAACCAATTTCTAGAATGTTCACCTCTTTCAATTTGATTGCAGAGGAGTCTACAAACGCATATCTCAATGCCAACTGGAGGCCTGTAGCAGAATCCCTAAATCCGATCCTGAGCAAAACCATAGAAGATATTATGCTCGATATTTTGAGGACTGTTTTCGACAACATACCTGCGGACTTTTTCCTAAGCGATATCGAGTGATACAAGAGACTGAGTCACAGGAAAGATTCCTTGTTTCGAGTGGGATTTAGAAGCACGTTGATTGTTTTTCAAAAACGTAATTAATATTTTGTGATTTGGTATTTCACAGTACGAAGTGACTAAGCATATTCTTGGAGATTCGAAGGAGTTGAACAATATGTTAATGAAAACCTGTATAACCAATTGTAAACGGAAAAATTATCAAGTTTTGTGAAAGGATGTTTGAAGTAAGACTGATAGAAAAATTCAATCAAACTTCAACTTAGTATCTTTGTTATGCCATCTCATACTTGACTTGAAAAAGAGAAGAACTTTTATCATTACATTTGTTGCATAGTTGGGAAGGCATTGTTGGCATGTGAGTTCCATTTCTAACAACTTTGCTTAGTGAACCCTTGTGTCTTGTGGATTCAAAACAGATTATTAATTTCATCCCTTTTTCATTCTTAATGAGTTAACGGTTGTGACTTGTCATTTTTTAAATCATCAAAAGAAAAAAATTTTTGTGGAGAATTCAAAACTTCTTACTGTTTTTTTGTGTATACCACCTTCCACAATCTAAAAAATGAACAAAGCTGAATCAATAGAGAATCTGCTGGTGTGTAATAAAGGGCGTTTTGAAGTGAAATACACGTTTTGAAAACGGAAAAAGATTGTTTTCCACTGAAGCAAGGTAAGTAAGTAATAATTGAATAGGATGGCGACCGTTGAATAAGATTCGATTGTCGAGTTGGCGGGAATTTGGTCGAAATGTTGAAAAGAACTAATTGCTAAATTGTCGACGTTTCGAAACTTTATTGTTTCATCGAACAGGACATACATATGAATGGTTTCAACATGAAAAAGAAAATTTATTCATTTGCATCTAGTGAAAAAAAAGAATTATGTAATCTATATACCTACTGAAAATGTTTTTGATTCTTAAAAATACTCAATTTTACAACAACATGCAAATAAATAAATTTTATTTTTTGCGTAATCCGTACTTCAAACAAAAAAATTCAGGAGGTCGGAAGCCACTGGCAAGTATCAAAAAGTATGTTTTACAGCAGAAAATGACTTTTGATGCATAAAAAAATCTAGTGTAACAAACTCACCATAAAATTTCTTCTGAAACTTCAGGTGCATATGATTCAAAAGTGAAGATTTTCTCGAATTGAACTCAAACAAAATTGAAAAATGACCTCCTTAAATAAGAGTATGTTATTAATGATTACCCTGTTTATTTACCGCACTATATTTTAGCTGACTACGTGAAAACATGTCAAATCAAAGACCCAAAAGATGTTCTCGCTAACTGTTCCACCCACGCAGTACAAGCACTGTTCAGTGAAATTCCCAAAGGAGTACCAGATATCGGGTTGGAAGTACTGGACCCTTTGAAAGTACCAGAACTAAGCGTAAGTGTATCAGAATTTTTTCAGTGTGATTATCATATTCATCATAGTTTTTCAACATAACTGTTAACCAATAGCTGATCGATATTGATAAATGTATACGGTGTTTGAAAACTTTCATATAATATTCCACAAAACATTTCTCAACTTTTAGAGAAAAATCAATTTCTCGAAACAAATTGCTGTGAATATCTGTTACAATGTAGATTACTGATTCCATTGTTTTCAAAAAACTACAAAAGCAAGCAAACGGGGGTAAACATCGCAGAACATTGACGTATTTAGGCGAGCCCAACAAATTGTCGTTCATTTTTTGAAAAAGGAAAAATGGGGAGCAGCAGTGCAAATAATAATTTGTGAAAATTTATTGAGGACATAAAAAAGAATTTCTATGTAGGCTATATTAGGAACACATAAGTAACTTATAGTTCTCATCCCAAATTTCATATTGGTCAAAGGAAATTCATAAGTAGTTTTTTTTATTAAGAACCCCAATTCTCCAATCCTCTTTTTATTATATATCAACAATTTTTTGGAAAAAACGAAGAATTCAATATATTTTTTGCTGACGACAGCACACTTGTCTCGTCAAGTCATTTGGATTCCAGGACATCGGCTGCGGATGCACATCTTCACCGGCAGCGGGAGGTCGTGTATCTTAAAATGATCTAGAAGTGATTCGAATTGGGGTAAAAGTAACCAGATTCAGTTAAATGCCACAAAAACTCAGGCATCGATTTTCTCCATAAGATAAATGTATCCGAACCAGATACAATAATGTCAGGACAGACAATTCCGCTTTCGGCTTCGATAAGTTTGTTGTGAGTTAAAATGAACACCAATATGTCTTGGCACAATCATGTCGCTGAAATTGCAAAGGCTGCTTCTGAAAACCTTGGAACCAGAAAACTGAACACACCTCAGCAACTTTCGATCCTATATAAAACTCGAATCAGACCTTCTTTGTAGTATTGTTCTCATGTATGGAGCCCCGCTTCTAAGCATACCCTGTTACCTCTGGATTCCATCCAGAAAAGAGCTATCCGCTTGATTGGAGACGCGAACATCACTAGCAACCTTGATAGTCTGGAACTCCGAAGACAGGTTGGGGATTTTTCTCTCTTCTATAAATACTTTCCCGGGAAATGTTCAAGTGATTCTACCAAGAGCGGTGCATATCAGAAATACGCGACGGTCTGTGGCTGCTCATCGTTTCGTGGTTCAACTCAGTATACCTCGAACTCTACTGTTTAAGAACTTTTCTATTTGGATAACCGCGTTTATGTGCAATGAACGTTATTCCGAATGAATTTAATCTCCAAAAGTTGAAATCCAATGTGAATCGCTACTTTACTGTAGTCTTTAAAAAACAATTTTCAAACCATCTTTTGGAAGACGTGCATGAGTTCAATCTTGACTAGAATGCATCAGATTCAAAAGAGAAGGGCTCAAAACGCTTTAATGTCCTTTTGAATTTCAACAGATTCAATAATTACCATCTGTTCGATGACTAGATAGAACTGAATAATTCTCCGTTGTTTTTTACAATGAAATTGGTAACTAGTCAGCACCCTGACTTTTTTGCAAGTGTCTGAAAAACTTTAAAGCCTAATGCATTTTTCTCCCGTATTTTTCACCCATTGCAACAAACTTATTCCGAGGACAGATCTTTTGTTGACATAATTTGAGTTGTCTATAAATTATCTCTTGAGAAATAGTACCTCAAACTCACCTGAATCATAAGAAGTTATCCTTTTCCCTTTGTTGTACTTCCTGCAGCTAAGGTTATGTTCGAAATTGCATTATTATTATTCTTATATTTTCACAGGGAATTGTCCTCACGGAATAAATCCAAGTAGAAGGAAGGGTTATTATTTTTTATAGAGATTTTAGAGATTAGTTTTTGAGAGCTTTTTGGCTTCCACTTTTCCGTCTTCATATATCTCTTTCATATATCATTATGTAGCTTTTCTATAAATAATATCCTGTTCAATTCCATAACGAACGTTTGGGGTACAAACTTAATAAAATAAAGTATTTTTGTATAATTCAATGTT